GGCACCTGGATGTGTAACATTCAGTGTTTCCCCCCACCCCACCCACCCCCTCGCTGCCAGCGCACAGCCGGGGTGTGGAGTTTCCAAATTAGGTACTGCTTGCGTGAAACAGAGAAAAACAAAAAATACCGAAAAAAAACAAAAAAAATACCTAAAAAAAATACGACCCCCTTGTTTATATCCAGTAGTTACTGGGGTCAAGTGTCAACATCAAGGAGTTGGACCTTCAGTGCGCACCAGGCGCTCGGAATGACAGGAGGTCGGAGTCTAACGCAGTTCCTGATGTAACACACCCAGGAGGGCCGCAATCATGGAAGTGTCACTATAGCTTGAAAGAGCTTGTGAAGGGAGGGGAGATCATTATGCAGGGATCTGCAACCCTGAAGCCTACATCCTAAAATATGCTTTTGCGGTAAGCATGCAACTCCGCCCTGGACCTGTAAAAACAGCCGCCCAGTTCCATTGAATGGTCTGTCGGGCCAGACATCGGTGGTATGGGTCTTGAGTCTCCAGTTCTTCGTCGCCCATGGTTCGGCAGGGCCTCAGCGTCGGTATTTAGGAAACTTGGCAGCATCAAGGGGCCAATATTCAGAACAACTCCACGGTTTAAGGTTTAGGGCTTAGGGCCTAAACCCTAAACCCTAAACCGTCCACCCCCAACTCGTCCTGAGGAGTCATTGCAACGACCTCCATAGCGACCTGGGCTGCGACAGACTCCGGCCTTGTGGGGGCTTGGGCTGCCGGGCTTTTGCCCTGGTTGCTGACGGTTTAGGGTTTAGGGTTTAGGGACCCTAAACCCTAAACCCTAAACCCTAAACCGTGGCTCTTGAGCATTCACTCTGCGAAAGCTTTCAAGCTGAAGGATGTTCGGTATGAGGTCCTTTGTGTCAGGGTTAAGGGTCCCAGAGATCACCGATTTGATTTTCAGGCCAGAACTCAGGGTTCATGACCTTGTCCGTAGGAGATTCTACGGCAGAGGCAGTGTATGAAAATCCGATGGGCCGGAAGGACAGCTAAAGCTCCAACAGCGGCCTCAATCGGTTGACATCCCTCCTGCGATGAACCGGCCATCTTCACAGCACTTCGTGAATGGCCCTTTGCAAGACTTGTGCTCGCTGTTAAGGACACCCTTCCCTGTCCACAGCTCCAGATCACCTGGCTCTCGAGTGCATCAACCAATCCTCCCTACTCCCGAGCTCGGCTCTCCCATGCGCCTGGTGATACGAATGATGATATAATTCCTGCATTACCCATAATGAGGAATATACCATAATTCCCATAGCTTAGGGCCCTTAAGGTACTGCAGGATTTATATCATCAACAGTAGTAATGTAAGGACCTGATTTAGAAACCTTTGATCTTTCTTAGGGCTCTTTATTAATATGGTTCCCCATCTTTCGGGATTCTGTGGCCAGTGTTTCAGGTTCCTGGCATTACCCTCAATCCCCAACCAAAGCCCCAAATTAGGGTTTAGGGTGTAGGGCACACCCGAAGTCTGCAGATCTGTCAAGCAAACATTGGCGTGAATCCGCAATGGCCCACCTAAACCCCAATGACTTAAGCGCATACCCCACCTGCGCCTCTAAACACCTATAGATCTAAGCTCCCAAACAATAACTCATTTCTGAACCAATCTGACACCTTGGCTACGCATATGCCAGGAACTAAACCCCTAACCCTAAACCCTAAATCCCTAAACCCTAAACCCCCAAATACAAAACCCTGTACGCCAAGAAGCTTTCCAAGTCTGCAGCGGCTGCAATTCGGACCGATCGGTACCGGCTGAGCCAAGCTGAAAAACTTCGGAACAACACGGTTTAGGGTTTAGGGTTTAAGGTTTAGTTCATCCCGACTGCTGATCCGGAAACCCTGGCCGTGCCTTCATGATACTGGGGACCGTAGACATTAGAATAGGATTTCGAGCTGCCATCAAAATCAGAATCACTCTGCACGTAACTCAACAATGACGAGAAAGGGGCTTTAACTTGATAATTTACTCAGTAAGGAACCCACTAAAACCCGTAGAGAACCACAGCATCCCTCATCGTAACCTTAGTGGGAAGCCTGTCATACCTAGAAACGGATTTCCTCGAAGTTTAGGGTTTAGAGTTCAGGGGTTTAGGGGTTTAGTGTTCAGAGTTCAGGGTTTGGGGTCGGTTTAGGGTTTATATAGTTCAGGGTTTGGGGCATTTAGGGTTTAGAGTTTCGGCCCGCGGTATCACAAACCCGTAAGCCCTTGGAGCTCTACTGACACACCCAGTTCCCGAAACCTTAAACAATGACCTCTCAAGCCAGAAACCTGAAACCCCAAAGCACTAAATCCTACAAACCCCGGCCCTCAACCCTAAACCAACCCTAAACCAACCCTAAACCCTAAACCCGCAAAGAAATCCTGCAACCCTAGACCCTAGAACTCTCCAGTCTCTCCCTCTCTCTCTCTCTCTCTCTCTCTATCACACGCGGACTCAGCCATAAACGAGGGAGCCAGGGTAGATAAGGGGGTATCATTTACTGTACTCACTAGTCGGTTCTAGCCGCTTTTCTCGAAGTTTAAAGTTTCTGGCTACGGGCCCCATTCAGATTCAGGTACTCGCGACCTGAACAAAGCATTCATGAAGCTGTCAGTGCTCTTTTGGGTATAGGGTTTGCATTTAGGGCTTAGGGTTAAGTTTTCAACACGAACAAGTAAGCAAGCTCAAAAGCCTACTCGTGCACCTATGCCGCCTGAATCACCTCGTGTTGAACATGTAGGGTGTAGTATAGTACATTAATTATGAGAAAATCTCAGGAACAATGTTGGTAACTATTCAGCCTTCTAGTTACTTGATGCGTTCTCTCGGGGTTTTTGTAGGCTGAAGTTTTCAATACGAACAAGTAAGCAAGCTCAAAAGCCTACTCGTGCACCTATGCCGCCTGAATCACCTCGTGTTAAACATGTAGGGTGTAGTATTGTACATTAATTATGAGAAAATCTCAGGAACAATGTTGGTAACTATTCAGCCTTCTAGTTACTTGATGCGTTCTCTCGGGGTTTTTGTAGGCTGATACAAACCAACAAATGCACGGGTTGGCGGTTAACTAAGTACCCAGCTACCACCAAGGCTGAGAAACCCAATAAGGCCCTATGATGTCGTACTGATGAACCCTGAGGCCCTAGAAATTCGAATTAAAACGTCACTAAAACTGCAGCAGCCGACCCCTGAACACCCCTCGTGACACCCTGCGCGATCCTACATTTGGACACCCTACATGAAACCCACTTATACTGCCCCCGTGACCCCGTGTCTTTTTTATACTACCTCAAAGAAAAACTCTCTTCGAATTCGACATACTGATGTACCCATGCTATTCAATTCAAAACCAAAAAAGCCTTCTCGGACGCGCTGATGGCTGCTGCGAAGGTCACAGGGCTAGGGCCTCAGATCTCCCAGCGCTGTGCACGCATGTGAACAAATAAATAAATGAATGAATGAAGGAACGAAGGAACGGTTTCGTGAACGAACGAATGGGGGAATGAAGGAATGAAACACTGAAGGAAGGAATGAACGAACAAACTCATAAAAGCATGGCTGTGTGGATGGACGCATGGATGGATGAATCACTTCAATGATGCATCTCGGTGAAAGCAAGGCTTGTGAGGGGTCTAGGAGCTTGTATTCACCTCTAGTATAAGTGAGGTTCTAAGTAACGTAACTATACTTATGAAGCAATATCAGGGGACATACAACCCCACTTATAACTACCCATGAACCTTCAAGTAAGCCCTATATTTTAAATCTCTATGGAACCGTGGAACACTTAAAGGAACCACGTTAAGGGTTTAGGGTTTAGGCGAAGCCTCGAGCCTAAACGGGCCTACTTGGAGGCCCAGGGGACTTAGCAAGTAGGTTATAAGTAGAGTTATAAGTACCCTAACTGTAGTTACCACAATTATAACCCTACTTATAACCCACTTACTAAGTCCCCCGGGCCTCCAAGTAAACCCCATTCACCTGAACCGCAACACAGCGCCTGATTGTTCTAACCCTCGGAGGTCACGGCTCAATGGGAAGCCCCGCAGCAACCATCCTGCAAGAGTCCAGCAGCTTTGCTTCCTCGGATAGATTGGGGTAATGCAGGAGCCTTAATAATTAGAATAGGGTTTTGGGGCCCATTGTACTATAGTTTTAATACGGAACCCCCTAAAATAATATAGGTACTTATTAAGGCCCCTACATTACAGGAGATTCTGGGTTGAGGACGGCTTTTGCCTCTCACTCTCGTTTAGGACAGCAGGTTTGGCGCTTAGGGAGAACTTCGGAATAGACAAGGCATGTTCTGAGTGAATGCTTACTTGGCGGGTCGGGGGACTTAGTAAGTCGGTCATAAGTAGACTTATAAGCACCCCAAAAGGGATCCTTATTGGGGTTATGATGCTTATGACTCTATAAAATAACTACTTACTAAGTCCCCCGACCCTCCAAGTAAGCCTTAAGCTGTAGATGATGGACACTCGGACAGTTCGGGGCCAGGTCAGTGCTGCCTACTTATACCAAAAGGAACTTAAGGTTAACCTTTAGGGTTATATAGGGGGTATAGTACCGAAGAAAGGGTGAAGGTTACCTACTCTGCTGCTAAGTTTGGGCTTACGGAATTAAGGCTTCTTGGGTTGAGGGGCTTCAGGTTTAGGGAGGCGTTCAGACCTCTTTTTGCCAGAGCTTGGCTTCTCTTCATCCAGGTCAAACA